AATTTTTAAAGGTCATTAAACTCTTATCATTATCATTATCATCATAATTTACGTCATCATCATAATAATAATCGAAAAAAAAAAAATAAAATTAAAAAAATTTTAAATACGAATCGTTATTCTCACATTTAATATTTGTTTAAAAATTTTTTTTTAAGTAAAAGAAAAAAAAAATGACGTAATAAATTAATTTTAGTATACGCGACAACCTTTGACCCCGGATAAATAATAATAATAATGATAAAAAAAATTTTTAGTATTTCGTGTAATAATTCAAATAAAAAAGATTTCAAGTTCTTACTTCAACTTTTTTACGTAAAAATTAATAAATAAACGACGATTGATAACGTTATCAATAATAAAATTTTTTATTAATAAATTAATAAAAATTAAAATAATAATAATAATAAATAAATAAATAAATAAATAAATTTTTTGTGTGAGTCGACAAAAAAAAAAAAAAACCTTTCAGCATTTAATATCAAATTTTATTATTGACACGTGAATTTAATTTAATTAAAAACTACGACGACGACGACGACGACAACTCGAAAACCCACCGAAAAAAAAATCAACATTACAAATAATAATAATAATAATAATAATAATAATAATAATAATAATAATAATAATAATAATTTAAATAAATGTGCCTCAAACTTTGTCTTTTTTTTTTTTTAAATATTAAATATCATAAATCGTAATTTTTTTTATATTAAAATGGCGGGTTATAATTTGATGCCTTAAGCAACGGTTCGTATACCAACCGTTTTCAAGGCTTTAATAAAAACAAATATCATAAATAATAATAATAATATAAAATTTCCTTTCGATTCAAAATATTATTAATAATAATAATAATAATAATAATTTTTAATTTACTGTGCAACAACGACCGAAAATAAATAAATAAAATTCAATTAATTTAATTTAATTTTCTCTCTTTTTGTGCCTGCTTTTTTTTTTTTTTTTTTTATAATATTATATCTGCGTAAACCTGTTTAAAAAAAAAAAAAAAAAATATTTACGCGCGTGCGAAAAAACATACGCATGCACGCACGCATGCACGCACAAAAAATATTTTTTCCTTTTTATTAAAAAACAACATTTAATAAAAAAAAAAAAAAAAACAACTTTTTAGTATATACGGTAATTTATTAACATAACTCAATAGGATAAAAATAAAGTTGTCATTTAAATATTATTATCATCATCATCATCATTATTTTTTTCCCATTCTTATTAAGATTCTTATTTAAATAAATAATAATATCATAAATTGCATTAATATCGTAGTGGAATAATATCAATAATAATAATAATATTAATATTAAATAAATATATAAATAAGATCTTTTTTTTCCTTCTGCTTCTCTGCCTCTCTCTCTCTCTCTCTCTCTTTCTCTCTCGTTTTTTTTTTTTATTACGTCACGAGAATAAACAAACAAACAAACAAACAAACAAACAAACAGATCGATCGATTTCTATTATGTGTTATCAATCACTCATTCAAAAAAAAAAAATTATTATTGATTGTGTTGTGGAGTAGTTAAATACATTTTTCTTTTTCCCTTTCATCCGCCTTCATTTTTCCGGTTATACTTTTTGTTACACTTCCACGTATTAACACGCGAGTGTTGTTAATTACATAAGGGAGCACGTTATAAACTTGCTTTGAGTTTATTTACGGCGTTTGTCAAATCTTGTACGATGGTTTCGACGTCTCGAAGTGACGTATTCCTTCCGGATGATAACCTTATTGAATTTTTAGCCATGTTTGGGGAGACTCCGGAATTGACTAAAACCTGTGAGAATAGACAGGAGTGACACGCGGCTCCCACGCCGGCAATTAAATGTTTACATCTGCTTAATATTAGAGTCCCTTCCAATCCCATTTCTTTAAATGATACGTTCGTAGTGTTGGGCAATCTCAAACTATCCTCGCAATTGATCCTTATATCATCCCCGAAAACTTCATGTAATCTCGATTCTAATTTTTCGCGACATTTCAACATGGTCGCCTTGTATTGTTTTATATTATCGCTAACTAATTTTGCCGCTATACCTAATCCGACTATCATGGGAGTGTTTTCCGTACCCGGTCTCATATTTTTCTCTTGTCCGCCCCCAACGAAAACCGGATAAACCTGAGTCGTTGATTTTGCAATGAGACACCCGATTCTAGGACCGTAAAATTTATGACCGACAATTGTTAAAAAATTTAAATTCATTTCGTGAAAATTGATTTGTTCTTTTCCTATTATTTGCGCGGCGTCCGTGTGAAATAATATTTCTCTCATTTGTTTTTTTTTCCTTTCGACATTTACATCGTGTATTTGTTTTCCTAAATCTGTTATAGGCATTATAACACCTGTTTCATTGTTGGCAGCCATGACTGTTATTAAACACGTATTGTCTGTTATTTTCGATATGATATCTTCAACTCTCACACATCCATTGCTATGAACCTTGAAAACAAACATGAAAATTTTTCTAATAATAATAGCCAATTAATTAAGTTAATATACATAAATAAATAAAAATAAATTATTACTTTTACTATTGTACATGTGATACTGGATTCATCTTCTAAACGTTTGATTGGTAATAATACAGAATCATGTTCGACATTTGTCGTTATCATATGAGGTTTATCATCATCACTTTTACTTCCACTCGCTTTCATTTTATTTTCTTTATATTGTTTATATGCACTATAAATAACTATGTTATTGCTTTCAGTTCCACCTGATGTAAATATAACTTCTATAGGAGCACAATGTACCATGTTGGCTATTTCCTTTCTTGCTTTATCGATGCTCGCTTTGGCTTTGGCTCCATATGAATGCAACGAACTTGGATTACCCCAATCATTCACCAGTGAATCACATATACCTTTAATTACTTCTGGTGCCATTGGAGTTGTCGCATTGTGATCAAAATAAACCAAAGATTCATTACTCGTCATTATAAATTATTTTTTTAAATAAATAATTTACAAGCTTTGTAATGTTGTCATGCACGTGTTGTAATGTTGTCATACACGTGTTGTAATGTTGTCAATTAATAATAATAATAATAATAAATTTTTTAAAATCATGTAAAACACAACAACTTCACACAAGTTTTTCATATGTGTTTATTTGGTTAAAAACCGTTAAACATTAAGCAAAAAATAGTGATAACAACAATAAACTAATTTCCTTTCGATTGTTTTGTGTCAAAAAAAAGTGATATTAATAATAATAATTTGAGTTATAACTATTTCGAAAAACAACAAAAAAAAAAAAAAAAAAAAAAAAAAACATAACCTTTCCATAATAAAAAAAAAACGTTAGTTACGCCGTTGGTCGTTGACCATATTATTATTTACTTTTTTTCTAATGACACGTTTATTGTTTATCATCATTATCAATTAATACAGAACCAAATGGAAAAAAGAATAAAAAGTTTGAGTTTAAATTTAATGCTATTATTATTAATATTAATAATAATTTGAGGGATTTTTTTTTTTTTTTTTTTTTTTTAGTAATTTACAAATTTTAGTACAATAATTTATTTAATCAATTGATTTTAATAATTTATTATTATTATATATGTGAGTATTTTTTTTTTTTTAATAACAATTTATCATTACTAATCATTTTTTGAATGAAATTTGTATTATTCAAGGGATTTCATCAAAGAAATAATAATTATTATTATTATTATAGTTAAATTAATTTCCAAGTAGGGAAGTTAATAAAAAAATTGTTTTAAATAAAATTATTTAATATTGTTCGAGTAAAAATTTTTTGTTATTTTTAATTATTGTTTTTTTTTTCTTGTCATTCGATAAACTGAAAAGTAAATTTTTTCATTTAATCGGAATCATTTTAATCGAAATTAGCATGGGTGAACATGATGATGTCACAAATTTTGAACAATCGGAATATGGTTCAACTGTTGGATTAATCCTTGCGATTATATCGACAATTTTCATAGGTTCAAGTTTTATAGTTAAAAAAAAAGCATTGATTAAAATAAGTAATAGAGGAAATGTAAGAGCATCTGCTGGAGGATATGGTTATCTAACGGAATGTGTATGGTGGGTTGGATTATTATTGAGTAAGTTATTAACCAATCATCATTATTTTTTGTTTTACAATTATGAAAATCTTTCTCCATTACTGATTGATGATATTAAAATATATATGTTTGCAGTGGGAATCGGTGAATTGGCAAATTTTGCTGCATTTGCATTTGCACCAGCGACATTAGTCGCACCACTTGGTGCTCTCAGTGTATTGGTATCATCGATATTAGCATCGAAATTTTTAAATGAAAAATTAAACATATTAGGAAAAATTGGATGTGTTTTATGCATAATAGGTTCAACAGTTATTATCATACACTCACCTAAAAAGGATAAAATTCAAACTATGGAATCAATTATTGAAAACATGGAACAATTAACTTTTTTATCTTACCTTTTTATCGTTGCCATTATATTTTTATCAATATTTTTTTATTTCGGTCCTAAATACGGTCATAAAAACGCACTCGTTTACATATTGATGTGTTCGGCCGTGGGTTCTTTAACCGTATTGGCATGCAAGGGTTTGGGTATCGCGATACAAGACTCGATAAGAAACGAAATAACGGATTTGATAAACACGTTTAATTTTTTTTTAATTATAACAATTATCGTTTGCATCGTCACACAAATGAATTATTTAAACAAAGCCTTAGATTTATTCAACACCGCCATCGTAACACCCGTTTATTACGTTTTATTCACGATATTCGTCGTCACGTCGTCCACCATTTTATATTCCGAATGGGAAAATTTGAATTATGATGACGTCATAGGAAACGTATGCGGATTTTTAACGGTCGTCGCCGCCATTTTTCTACTTAACGGTTTTCGAGATTTGGATATTGGTTTAAACGACGTACAAACGACCGTTAAAAACAAACAATGGGATAATGGTTCGGCGATGAGAGTGTGCGTTAAAAAACAACAAACGAAAAAACAAGATGAAGAATTTCTCATTTTAGAATCGGATAATAATAAATTCAACAACGAACACAACTGTTGAAAAAAGTATTGCAAAAAAAAAAATGGGGAATTAATTTAAATTAATCAATTTAAAACTAATTAGTATTGTTAACAAAAAAAAAAACGTTACCTTAATTACTGCCCATGAAAGTCTGCTTTTGTTTATTTATTTATTTATTTATTTATTATTTTAAAAAATTTCTAGTCTCATTTAGTTGAATTATTATTATTTAAATTACGTCATCCATTGTTATTTACCGTAAGTTAAATATTATATATTTAGTTAATTAAAAAAAAAAAAAAAAGATGGCGCGTTTGTAAACGAAAAAATAATTAAATAAATGAATTGTTTTTTTTTTTTTTTTTTTTTTGTGTTTTATTAAATAAAAAGAAAAATAAAAAAGAAATTTTTTACTCTAGGTATGTACAGGTAGGATAATAATAATAATAATAAAACCTCGAAAGTTATTCGTTTCGATTATCGTTCAGGTAGGAAAAAAATCCGTCGTGGTTTTAGAGCGAAAGTTTAAAAAAATTTTCCGACCGTTATTTTGTTAAATTTTGAATTAACGGTTTTCGAAACGTGGACGATTGTTTAAACGAATTATAACCACTTCTTCCGGTATAATATTTTTCGTTTTTATCCGATGGAATTGAAACCGGAAATAAATTTTCAATTTTGATTCCTTTTAATTGATTATTATTATTATTATTGTTAATGGTTGTTTGTTTTTGGGGGGATTTTATAATTTCGTAAACGTTTCGAGTACATTTTTCATTCGTGATTCCATTTTCTTCGAAACATTTATAACACGTTAATTTGTTTCTGATTGTTTTTACACAATTCGACCAATCTCTCGTTCGAAATTCTTCCGGTATTCTTTCGACATTTTCTTTGTTTTTTTCATTCGGTATCGTCAACGATCGTTTTATTTCCGGTTTAACAATCATCTTTTCCATTTTAATATTGGGTAAATAGGAATAATGTTTTTCCGATTCGGAACCTTCGTAATTTTCAAAATCTTTTTCTTCGTTTTTTACAAAATCATCAAAAAATGGATCGAAATTTAAATGTTCTATATCTTTTCCAAATTCATCGGATTCGGATTCCTCCATATTAAATTTTCCAGAATATTCTTCCGAATCATCATCATTATCGTATGCATCTCTTTTCGTTCTTTTATTTAAATTTATTATTATTTTTCTCGGTGAATTTCCAGGTTTATTTAAAATATTTTTTACTACTGATGTATTTTCCAGGATTTGATCTTTATCAAGGTCAATCGTGTTATGTTTTCCAGCTGTTGTTGTTTTCCGACTAAATCTGCACTGTTCGTAAGAGGACGAGGTTTTTTCATTTTTACAAACTGTGCATAACATATCCCCTCTTTTGATCGTTTGACAAACGTTGTCGTCTTCTTTCGATCTTACTCTCGGTAGTTGCGGTATTGGTTGTGGTATCGGTTGTGATACTGATTCTTGCACCGGTTGCTGTACCGATTGTTCCACTTGTTGTGGTATCGATTGTTGTACCGATTGTTGCACTTGCTGTGGTACTGGTTGTTGCACCAGTTGTTGTGCTCGTTGTGATACTGATTGTTGCACCGGTAGCTGTACCGATTGTTCCACTTGCTGTGGCTTCGGTTGTTGTACCGATTGTTTTACTTGCTGTGGCTTCGGTTGTTGTACCGATTGTTGTACTTGTTGTGGTACTGGTTGATGCACCGATTCTTTTACTTGCTGTGGTACTGATTGTTGCACAGATTGTTGTACCGATTGTTGTACTTGCTGTCGTACCGGTTGTTGCACTTGCTGTGGTTGATGCACCGGTTGTTGTATCGATTGTTTTACTTGCTGTCGTACCGGTTGTTGCACTTGCTGTGGTTGATGCACCGGTTGTTGTATCGATTGTTTTACTTGCTGTCGTACCGGTTGTTGCACTTGCTGTGGTACTGGTTGATGCACCGGTTTTGGTATCGGTTTTGGTATCGATTGTTGTTGTATCGTTTCGGACGTTTCGTGACTTGTTTTCCCCTCTAAAAACTTAACCGGAAGTTCTTCCTTTTTTGTTTTTTCCACGAATTCATTTTCTTTTGCTAATTTTTCAGAATCGTAATCGGGATCCGCGTATTTTTTAGGCCTATAAAAATTAACATCGAATGTTTTCTTTTTCCGATAATCTGATTCACCGGAAGAAGATGACGCGGAATAATGATGATTTTGTGAACTTTTTTGTTGTTCGTTTCCAAAATAATGTCTGCTCGTCGACGAATGATAAGAATTACGATTTTGATAACTCGTATCGCGATAGGATTCGTGACTCGCTGGAGATTCTTCGCGAGAATCATAAAATTCATCGGATTCGAATATTCCTTCGTATATGGATGCTGGAACACCGTAAGATTGTTCGGAAACGTCATATTTATGTATGGAACCATCGTAAACATCCGCTGACGTAATTTCCCTCTGGTATTTTTTTCTTCTGTCAATTTTACCGGAAGGAAGGAAAGTATCGACCTTTTGTCGGGTCTGCCTTGTTGATCTTTTGTACCTGCTTTCTTTTTCTCTTCCGTATGTAATTCTCGGATTGTTTTCTTCTCCTTTCAAGTATTTATCATCAATTTCCTCAGAATCATAAATGGTTTTTTCTTCGCTGCTTAAACTCTCACCGGAAATAACCTTTGATTGTTTTTGTTCAGATGACGGATTGTTAAAACCACCGTTCCAAAATGACGGTACGAAACCGTTATTTCCATAATATCGTTCTTCTTTGTTTGTTGTGCTATCACTTTTGAAGTACTCGTTTCCTCCTCCTCCTTCGTAGGTATTCGAATGTTTTTCCGATTTCGTATCACTTTTTAAACGTCTACTCCTATCGAAAATCGCAGGATTTTTCTTCTCAGCATTAACTCCTTCGACTCTCGTGAGTGTAGAATCGACAAAATCATAGTAGGGCGATATACCACCTCGATATTTTATGGGTGGCCTAATCGTTGAATGATGAAAAGGACTCAGCGCGATTTTTGGATTTCCATAAACTATTTGTCCTTTTTGTAATCTTCTTTCTCTCTTTTCCGTATTTTCTTTTTTCTTTATTATTATTTCGGGATTGGATTCGATTCGTGGATGGGTACGATATCCATCGTATGGTTTAGGTTTACCATCTATAAGTGGTAGATATAATACTTTATCGTATGGTAATATCATTTCAACATCTTTTATCCTTTCTGGATAATAATTATTATTATAATTTTTTATTATTTTCCCAACCGGAAGTTGTTGTTTATTAATTTTAAAATTTTCGTTTGTTTTTTTTTCAAATGTTTCTTCATCGTTTCCTGAACTACTACCACTACTACTACTTGCTTTTGGAATTTGATCTTTTGTTGGATAACCTGTTCCAAAACGTGTTCTGTACCTTTTGGAATTAATTCCTGTAAATATTTAAAAATTATTTACATGCGTAAACTTTTACAAGGTTGGGGGGAAACTCGTAATCGCATAAGCGGAAACGTTGTTAATATCGATCGGAAAAACGATTTCATTTCCGGTTGTTCGATATACGAAAAATGTACTTCGAAAGGCGATATAATTTTATTACGAATCGAACGAGATTTTAAAAAAAAAATTGTTTGTATGAGGAACAAACAAACACAAACAAACAAAGGGAAAAAAATCTGGAGAAATAAAATGGAATCCTGGAGAATGAATATTATAATAAAAATTAAAACTTACTTTCAAACTTGTTTGTTTGTAGGATTTCGTATGATTGTGCCACGACAACAAATAAAAACAGTAAAAATATCTGAAAAATTTTATAAATTTTAATTCCACGTTAAAAATAATAATAATAATTACTTATAACGACACAAATTGTATTACAAAAATTAATTTTTTATTTACCTTTGCGTCCATTTTTTTTTTTTTTGTCTTTTTATCACAAACAAATAAATTTTTCAATTCACTGCTGGAACATTTTACGAGTAAACAAAAAACTATTTCCCACGCGCACTCACCCACTCACTTAATCCGCGATCCTTTAATAACAAGAGTACAAATGAGAATTTTTATCCATTTTCAGTTATTTTTATCACCCCCGATCCTTTGATTCATTGTGGATTGTGTAATTGATCATTATTATTATTATTATTACTATTACTATTATTACCGTACGTGAGAAAAACTTTCTTTACTGTGGTTTCACACCATGGTGGATTTTTTTTTCCCTCACCCCTCCCCCCTTCCAAGCGTTCTCTCCGGTAACTTATGAAGTTTCCTACTTTTTTTTTTGTCCGCCATTTTGAAAAACAGACATTTAAAGAAAAATGATGAAAAGAAATAACAAACAATAAGAAAACAAACGTAGAGAGAAAAAGGAAATGGATTTAATTTTTCCGGAAATGTGTAAAATTTAACGTGTCAATAGATAAACGTAATTTTTTTTTCTCCTCCTTCTTCTTTTTTTTTCCGTTTGTTTTTTTGCTTTTCTCCAGTTAATTAATTAAATTTTGGGTTTCCCCCCCTTCAAATCGTTTTTATTAATTTAATGATCCTGAACAGAAACCTGAAGAAGTGAAAGGTTGTTTATTAAAAATAGAAAAATTTCATTTCTCTTTTTTTAATTTTACACCGCATTACACGACGTCATCAATTATCAACCGCAGCAATTTTTTTATTTTGAGGTTTTTTTTTCGCCTTTCTATAAACTTTTTCTCTCTCTCCTCCTCTCTCTCTCTCTTTTTAATCCATTCGTGATGACGTAATAACAATCAATGAAAAAAAATTATAATTTTTTCTCTTGCAAAAAGTCAGGGGAATCGGAAATGAGGATTCGTTAGACCAAAAAAAAAAAAAATTTATAATTACGTTACCATCACCAAACAAAATCAAACGTGCCTTAAAAAATAAAAAAAAGAGAAAGAGAGAGAAATACAAAAAGAGAAAGAAACAGAGAGAAAAGACAAAGACAGAGAGGAAAACAAAGTGGCAGAAAATGACGAAGAAACAAAGAGAGAAAAAGAAGAACACACGGAAAGACAGAGTTAAAGAGAGAGAGAGAGAGAGAAACAAACAGAGAAAAAGAAAAGAACACATGAATAAACAGAAAGAAAAACAAAGAATGACATAAAGAGACACAGAGATAGAGAGGAGAATAAGAGAAGGAGACACGTAGAAAAACAGAGAGAGAGAAAATGAGAAGGAAACACATAGATAGATAGACAAAGATAGAGAGAGAGGACACATAGACATTTAGGAAAGAGAGAAAGAAAAAGACATACAGAGACAGAGAGAAATAGAAGAACAGAAGAACACACAGAAAGGAAGAGAGAAAAGGAGAGAGAGAAGGTGAAGAATAGAAAGACAGAAAGACAGAGAGAGAGAGAGAGAGAGAGAAGAATACTGTATTAATAATATAATCTAATTACACGACTTAAAAAAAAAAAAAAATTACTAAAAATCATAATGTCATTATTAAGATTTAATTCTCGTGACACGTTAAATAAACCGACAAAACCGTCACAAAAAAAGTCGATAAAAGTTTTACCCGACAAACGTTTACCTTAAATAATTCAAAATTGAAATTTTCGTGTCGTTAAAATCAGAGTCGAATTAAGTTATTATTCCAAATCAAATAATCCATTATTATTATTATTTTTCCGAAAGGAATTTTTTAATAAATGATGACGTAATTACTAAAACGTAATAAATTTTTAATTCGTCGCTACCTCTTTATTACGATATGATATAATTTATCATCATTATTATTATTTTAAAAAAACAAAATCAAAAATAAAATTTTTACACGTTTTCCTGTTGGCTCAATAACGTAAACTTAAAAACAATTTTCAACAGCAACAGGAAATCATCCCTTAACTCATTAAAATCTAAAAAAAAAATGGCCGTCGTTCCTTTCCCTCCCTCCCTCCCTCCCACACCTCCCCCCTTTTAAAAAAATTTCATAATTTTCCTAAATATATGAAAAAAACGAAAATTCCCTTAATCCGTCACTGCGTCCATATGTATTGTGTTTACATAATTCACATTTTAATTATTCATATTTACGTAGCCCCCCTCACGGCCCCCCACACTTTATTTTTTTTTTGGGGGGAAAAAATGATTTGAATGGATGGAAAAAAAAAGTTATCAATAATTCACGATTTTCTTTCCATCATTCCATCGTTTGTTCCAGTTTTCATCGGTTTCGAATCATTTTTTTCCAGTCAATCATTCATCGAATGATTAAAAAATAAATATCGATAATAATAATACTAATACGAATATTAACGGGAATGAAAAAAAAATTTCTTAAATTTTATTATTTTTATTTAAAATTAATTGATTTAATTTTGTGTCAGGAAAACGTCAAATTACGTAAGTGTTTGTAACAACCAACAACCGACAACAACCGACAACCAAAAACTCTTCGGATATCGCCATTATCATTTATTTCTTTTAGTTTTGCTAACGGAATCGAAATCAGGAAATTTACCGCAAATGTTGAGCGAGGGCATCAAACTAGCAGAAGACAAATACAGAAGAGAATTGATATTTAACATTGATGTCGTCACTCTAATGAGAGATGAAGAAAGTGAAAGTTACAACCACGGTAAAATTATATTATTACATTTCACTTTACTTTCATTTCCGGTTTGCTCCCCTCACGCACCCCCCCTTTTTCTCGAACGAAAAAAAACCGCAATCGCCATTTTTTGATTTCAGTTTGTGCCGTTGCCGATAAAGGAATATCAATCGTCATCGATTTGACATGGAGCGGATGGGATAAAGTTAATAATTTGGCTGGAAAATATAAAATTCCAGTTATAAGAGCTGACGTCACCATTAGAACATTCGTTCGTTCCATGAATGATTTCTTATCCTTTCGAAACGGTTAATTATATCCCGATTTTATTTTCTTTCCAGTCGACCCTCTTGGAAAAAAATTTATTTTTCCATTTTCAGGTACGGATTCAGCATTGATATTCGAAAACGAATCCGAATTAGATCAAGCATTATTTTATTTAATCGGTCATTCCGTTTTAAGAGTTGTCGTATTGGATAAATTAACGTCTAAAAACGTACAAGGATTGATTAACATGAGACCGACGCCATCTTTTTTTACCATTTTCGCAACGACGGAAAAAATGAAACAATTTTTTCGCATCGTGAGTTTTTTTTCTTCTAACTTGTCTATATTTACCTTACGACCTCATACGTTTTCTTATAAAAAAAGAAAAAAATAAGAAAGGGGGTGGAGATTAAAAATTTTTAATTAACCAATCGAATTTAAACAAATTTTTAAATTCCAAGAATTTTTAATTTTATTCTTATCTTCACCCCTCCCCCTCCCTCTTTTTCTCTTGCCCTTATCGCGAGAGAGAGTGAGAGAGAGGGACTATAATTCTAGGCTCTAGAATCGAATTTGGTAAAAAGAAATGGAAGATGGACTTTAATATTTACCGATTTCAATTACGACCATTTTGATATGACCAACGTTAAAATTTTAACTAATTTAATAACAATGAAAAAAACCACGTGTTGTCAAATGCTAAACATAGACGAAATGTGCACTTGTCCGAAAGATTTCAAGGTAACGGCCATTTTTTTTTTCAGTAAAAATTATCGTCGCCATTATTAAATTTTCTTTTGTATTTAGATAGTCTCGACTTTTCTCTCCAATTTTGGAATTCTCATCGGTGACGTAGTCTACGACATGCTGTCGGAAAATGTCAAAATAAAACCGTTGAAATTAAAATGTGACGGTGGTGACGTCGTCAGCGTCACCGGTGACGATTCTTCTTCTCCATCTGGAGAAGAAGAAGAAAACAAAAATGTCACAACGGCCGCGAGTTTTAAAAAAAGTTTAATTAAATTATTAAGCCGACACAAATCCTTCGATTACGATTCCATAGATAATTTAATTTATTTCAAATCCTCTGGAGAAATTTCCGTGTCGAACGAATCGGAAAAAATCAATTTGGGAACGTGGAATTCTGAAAACGGTTTCGCACTTTCTCCAGGACAAATTATGGAACCTGATAAAAGATTTTTCCGAATCGGCGTCGTGCCTGGAGTGAGTCGCCATCTTTTTTTTCCCCTCCCCCTCTCTTCTTCTTCTTATAACGGTTTTTTTTGCGATTTCATAGGAAATACCTTGGTCTTATCAGGAAAAAGATTTCAAAACTGGAGAATTGATATGGAAAGGATATTGCGTGGAATTAACAGAAAAATTATCGGAATTAATGAATTTCGATTATGAATTCAGTTCTCCAAAATCTGGAAAATATGGTAAAAGATTACCGAATGGAAAATGGGACGGTTTAGTCGGTGATTTAGCACGGGGGGTAAGTAAATCACTTTTCTCTCTCTCTCTCTCTCTCTCTATTCAAAATCATTTCCGGTGTTGTTTCAATTTACAGGAAACGGAAATCGCTATCGGTGCTCTTACTATGACGTCAGAAAGAGAAGAAATCATTGATTTCGTATCTCCTTATTTTCATCAAACTGGAATTTCCATAAGTTCGTTTAACAAAAATTTTTTTCTTTTTTTTTTTTTTTGAATTTTCCAGAATTTTCTTTTTCTTTTCTTCTTCTCAAATTTCAGTGATAAGAAAACCGATACGTCCGACGTCACTTTTTAAATTTATGACAGTTTTACGGATAGAAGTTTGGATGTCGATTCTCGGCGCTTTATCCGTTACTGGAATTATGATTTGGTTACTGGACAAATATTCTCCATATTCCGCAAGAAATAATAAGGAAATGTATCCTTATCCTTGCAGGTACGTTTCTCCCTTTTTACCACCTTCTTTTCTCCAGATAATTTCTCTCTCTCTCTCTCTCTCCAGAGAATTCACACTCAAAGAAAGTTTTTGGTTTGCTTTGACGTCATTCACACCTCAAGGCGGTGGTGAAGCACCCAAAGCACTTTCCGGTAGAACACTCGTTGCTGCCTACTGGCTCTTCGTCGTTCTTATGTTGGCAACATTCACTGCAAATTTAGCTGCGTTTTTAACCGTCGAAAGAATGAAGGTAAACAATAATAATAATAATAATATTTTTCTTTTTACTCAACAAAATCGACCGGAAATGATTTCAGTCGCCTGTCGAATCACTCGAACAATTAGCAAGACAAAGCAGAATCAATTACACTGTCGTGCGTAACAGCGACACCCATAGTTTTTTCGTAAACATGAAAAAAGCAGAAGACACTCTTTATCAAGCATGGAAAAATTTAGCATTGAATGCGACGAGCGACGAAACGCAATTCAGAGTTTGGGATTATCCAATCAAAGAACAATACGGTCACATATTGTTGGCAATAGAACAAACCGGATTGGTCGATAACGAAACAGTCGGCATACAAAAGGTTGTCTCCAAAAAGGTTATATCAATCGACTAAACGATAAAGATAACGATGATAATGATGATGATTAAAATCCAGGTTTTGGAAAGCGAAACTGGAGAATTTGCATTCATACACAACGAAGCCATAATAAAATACGAAGTTTATAAAAATTGCAATTTGACCGAAGTCGGTGAAGTTTTCGCCGAGAGACCCTATGCCGTAGCCGTTCAACAGGGAAGCGTCCTACAGGAAGAAATCAGCAGGAGGTAATTAATTATGGAAAAACATTTTCAATTCTTAATTCTTAATTCCATTCGATTTTTCCATTCCAGAATATTAGATTTACAAAGGGAAAGATATTTCGAAATGCAAACGGCAAAATTTTGGAATTCTTCCGCGACATCCGATTGCCCGAATACGGACGACAACGAAGGAATAACTCTCGGAAGTTTGGGTAAATCCCCTCCCTCACCCCCTCTCCCCTCTTTTCTCCACTCGATTAACCGATTCAAAAATTTTCCAGGTGGAGTTTTCATAGCAACGCTTTTCGGTTTGGTTTTGGCCATGATAACTCTCGCCGGCGAAATATTATACTACAAACACAAATCGAAAACCATCGTCGATCCAAAAAATCGAAAGAAAAATCTCGCAAAGAAAAAAAAATTTAAAAAAGATGACGTCATAACTTCGAACACGAGATTTCAAAAACGGTACGACGATGACGTCAATGTAACGAATTTCACTTCCGGTGATCCTTTTTTCGATTTCGTTCGTCCCAGGTATCCGACAACAAATTTCAAATCTACCGGACCCGGAAAAATGATGCCGAGAGTTTCTTACATTTCCGTTTATCCGAAAAAACAACAACAACAAACACAACTACAACAACAACCTTTTTACAATTGAAATTTTTCTTTTCTTTTATTTCCAACAAAAAAAAATTGTAATTAAATTTAAATTAAATTTAAATTAAATTAAATTAAATTAAATTAAATTATAAATAATCGAAAAAAAAAAAAAAAAAAAAATACTTTTATTTAATAATTCAAGTCTCATCCGCAACATTTATCGGCGGCGCTGATGTCGGATTTTTAACGACCGTTTCCGGTTTGGTGTCGCTGTCGTCGCCGCCGCCGCCATTGTCGACATTGTTGTTGTTGTTGTTGTTATTACTACTACCACTACCACTACTACTCCCCGTCCTCTTTTCCTTATCCATATCAATTGATGACTCAAAGGATTTTTGTTCTTCATCGAGCTCGGAAAATATTGTTATTAAATTATTTATGCCTATTAGGTAACCATCTTCGTGATTTCCAATTTCCTGTATCGAAACAAAAACAAAAACAAAAACAAAAATCAATAAATCGATAAATCGATCGATCGATCTATCGATCAAATCAATTAATCGAACAACTAAAAATTTTTTTTTTTTTTATAAATGGGTGCGTTGATTACTTTCAATAATAAAATCGTTACGACGTTCGACCATTCAATTTCATTCATTCATTCATTTTATTACCTGTATGCATGAGAGTGATAATAATAATAATAATAATAATGATAATAATGATAATTTCCTTGATTAAAGGTCGAATTAAATGTTTTTTTTTTTTTTTTGTAAACGAGCGAAACATCGGTGGGAGCGGATTCAAGCATGGATGATTAAAAGACACGACTAATTAACCCATCGACTCGTTACGTCACGATCGTCATCGTCGTAGGTGTAAAAATTGTCAACCCCGAACGGTGACGACTGTGACGAACGAGTGCCAAATTTTTTTTTTTTTTTTTCTGTTCGGTGATGACAGAGGATTATTTATTTGCGCGACCCTAAATATATTCATCTTTGTCTTACCCATTGAGATTTATGATCTATGAACGTCTGATCCGGAAGCGTTAGAGTTTTGGCAAAATCTATCAGCCAAACGTTTGCTTTGACTTTGTCATGAACGAACAACAAACTACTTCCGATGACTTCGTGGGAGGAAAAAAATATTGATACTTCTAATGTTGCTTTTATGGCTTTCAGTCTTTGTACGTATTTCGGCTGGAAAATGATGACGTCAGTTAAAAATAATAATAATAATAACGAGCGAACGGTTTTTTTTTTTTTTTCCTTTTTCTTACCACTGCGTGAGGAAACCCGTTTGTAAAATCCCTGAACGCTTCTTTGACTTCGTCTTTTGTTTTCGTCGTTTTGAAATCTTTCGACGATTTTCCATCGCTTTTACGAATTCCTTCCAAACGGAAGCCCAACGTCGCTGTAGACGATATCGTTTCCCTCCAAACCATGTACCTGAAATTTAAAAAAATTCGGTAACCATTCGTTTCCTCTTTTCGGTGGTTCCGTTTCCGGTTTTTAATCTCTCACCTCGGTTTCGTGACCGCTTTCAGTCTGTGTTCTTCCAAAGTGGGAGCACTCGGATCGATCTGTATCATTTTTTCGTACATGTCCTTTCGGAGTTTGGGCTTTTCTTTAGCCTTTTGCAATTCTTCTTCCAAATACGTTCTCAATCCCAATTTGCAATCCAGAACGCACGGAGACGTAAAATCGACGAGGAGGTCTTGCAATTGTAAATAAACGCCTGATTAAAACGCGAGCTCAGGAAAAATTTTTTTTTTTTTTTTTTTTTTGGAAAAATGGCGTCGACATTTTCTCTCTCTCTCTCTTATTTTTCTTAAAAAAAGGATACATTCGTTTCCATCGCATGTGACTTGGCCCTTATATTCAGGTACGTATGGCCTCAGTACATCTTTCATAAGTATTTTGTAACATTTTTCCTCTTTCGGACAAAGTTTTTTCAAAATGGTTCCCTGTTCGGGTCCCGCTTTGAAATTCCCTGCAAAGCAACGCAAACAAACGAATTAAATTAAATTATTATTATTATTATTTTAAATAATTTAAACGATCCTGTTTCTTTTTCTCGCTCGCATTCACACGCACACGCACACGCACTTCATTTAATAATAATAATGATAATAAATCGTCAACGCCTTAAATGAACCGTCGACAACGCGCGCCGACACGCCATCTTTTTCATTTTTAAATTAGTTTTTGCGAGTTTGCGAAAACGATAAATCAGAATCTTGTCTCACACGCTCGCTCGCACGCACGCACTCACGTACGTACCTTGATGCCCTGCCAACTGCACCCATGGATACCTTTGTTTTTTGTAGGTTTGAAAAAATGGCGTCCACTGAACAATGTTTCTAAGCTTTCTCCAACCGGATGCCTGAAAAAATAAAAAAAAATCACTCAAAACACTTTTTCGTCTTCTGCTTTCATCGTTACACGTTCGACGTTCCCGTTCGGGTCCCGTGGAAACTTTTTTCGGGGGGAGGGGAGGAATGCGTTCGAGATACCTTTTTATATCTGACGATCATTTCGCTATCGTAAACGTCGACGATTCCCAAAAGGCAATCGTCGCACCGACAATATTCGCTTCCCGCGTTCGAAGAACTCACGCTTCCGAATGAACTGTAACTGTCGACGCTATCCGTTCTCGTGAGCAAAGGTTTCATTATATCCGTGGCATTAGATTTGAGCGTGGCCGCTTCCATTTTCGCGACGAGAAGTGTTTCCATAAGAGACCTGGGCTTAACCGCGTGATGATGACTCAAAACCGTTTTAAAATTATCGACGAAATCCGAACTTAATTTCAAAGACGGATCGACGTCGTCGTCGTCGTCATCGTCACCGTCACCGTCACACGTTAGACCGATCGCGCGATTCTCATTCTCATCCCGATAAAAATTTTCATCTTCGGCTTTATCGTATTCATACGCGAGTGTCGTTCGTGACGCGTCATCGTCGTCATCATCATCACCGTCACCATTATTATTATTATTATTATTATTGTTATAGTTGCTGTTACAACAATTATCGCGATCGTTTTCCGAATCCTCCTCCGATTTATTATGATTTTCCGTTGCCATTTTTTTTATTTTTCAAAAGTTTTACAAAATTAAAATGACGACGACGATTACCACTCCGCAATCGAGTTCATTCATTCCCGTTTCCTGTCACGGAAAAAAAAAACAAACAAAAACAAACCTAAACCTCATATCGAGGTTGTACGACGACGAGTTCATCGGGATAAGTAACAACCAACAAACAAACTTGATTCAAAATCTCTGGAACAAAAAAAAAAAAGAAAAAAAAAGTGGGAAAGCCCGTATGTTATGTGTATTATATGACGTCGTCTCCGTCGCGATATCGAAAACCTCGGTTCGAGTCAAGGACACGACATTTTTTTTTTTCGTCTCCCTATATTAGGCATACACGCAAGCACGCAAACGCACACGCACACGCACTTTAAACAAATCACGCATACAGACACAAAAAAGAAAAAAAAAAAAAACAATTTCAAACGATTCCGGTTTTTGCCACGTACGCGACACCGCGTTCCCGCACCTTTTTCGCGAAGGGAAAGCAAAAAAAAACAAAAAACAAAAAAACTTTACGTCACTTTTTTTTTCCGCGTCGCGCAACGTGTCAACTCTAAAAATCAAACGTGGCAAAAGACAATGCAAAAAAAAATTTCTGACTCGACAAAGAAAAAAAAACTCTTTTGGCCTGTTTCCGTTTTGCGATTCAGTCACAACCTAAGAGAGCTTCACGTAAAATTATTATTATTATTATTATTATTATTACGAAACTTCGACTTTGCGATCATCAGTAAGATATATTTAGGTCTTATGTCTTATGACTTGAAGAAGGAGCTTAGGCACAAAAAAAAAAAAAACAAAACGATGCGGTCATAATTATTAAACTTCAAAATAGAGTGACGTCAAACGTAACCTTAACTGTCACGCAACGACAACACGCAATGCGAAAGAAAACAAAAAACAAAAAAAGAATCGTATATTGAAATACGAGTAAGATCGCGTTAGAGAGAGATAGAGAGAGAAGGAACCGGAAATCAAAATGACGGTTTTCCACTCAAGTTAAACGTTGAAACGAAATTTTTCTGTCATTATTATCATCATCATCATCATCATTACTTTGCTTAATTCGCGTACGATAACAATGGCACCATACGTCACCACACACACACACACACACACACGTTTAGAAAGAACAAAGAAAACATTTCATGTGAAAATATTAATAATAATAATAATAATAAAAGAAAGAGAAAAAAAGAAACAATAATAATATCGTAGTTGAAGAAAAAAAATCGTGGAATCAGAAAAAAAAAAACGATTTCATCACTTTTGCAATCATCATCATCATCATCATCGTCGTCATTTTTTAAATTACGATTTAACCTTAGGTAGGTCGTGCCTTAGAGTCTCTGCATACTACCCCTTCCTATCACAAGCAACCTGACTTTGACTAATTTTTTTTCAAGGTCATATTTCGTTGTTCCGCACATTTTTGGGTAACGTTATTTCGAACCTGAACCTCCCTGACCCCATCCTAACTTTCTCTTCTTTCTCTGTCACACATCTTGCATCTCTCCTCCATCGATTTTACGTAGTAGTGACCCCTCGCGAAACTTAGAAGAAAACAAACGCGCGTTTTTTTATTACACAACCGGAATCGTTAATAATAATGATGATGATGACGATGATGATAGGTAATTATCATCATTATTAAAAAAAAAAATTAACGCTTAATTTATGATCGAACGAGATACTACGTGTTGTAATCGAATTTAAATTACCTGATCACGAATTTAAATATAAAAAAAAACAAACAAACAAACGAACAAACAACTTTAACCGTTAATGAGAACCAGTAAAACCGCAATCCGGACTTCCTTCCTTTCTTCCTTCTTTGGGAGTGGAGGGAAAAAAAAAAAATCTCACGCCGCGTTTTTCATTTTGACACCCGCGTCCCGAAAGGAAAAACTCGATAATCGTCACGAAATATCAAAAAACGACAGCAATTGTTCAAACAAAAAAAAAAAAAACGTTTGTACGAAAACAAAAAAAAAAAAAAAAAATGAATTCATTCACGATCCAACGGTTTACGACAAAACAAAAAAAGACGCGAAAACAAATAAAATAAAAATAAAAAAAACGCGTGACGAGAAATTCGTTTGACATCCATCTTTAACCCGACAATGAGAAATATAAAAAAAAAAAAAAACAACAAACAAGAAGGGGGCAACAAACGACAAACACGACGGAAAATTTCTTTTACGACGCTAATCTCTAATCGTAACGATAAAATCGTTCGCATTCACTTATTTTTTCCCTCTAATTCAAATGAATTATTTACGAACAAACGACAACAACAGCAGCAGCATCAACATCAACAACAAAAACGAAAACAAATAAACAAACAAACATTTTTCAATTTTTTTTTTTTTTTTTAACGTGTCAACTACCGATTTATTACTATAAAATTTCATGGGTTTACGCACAACAAACATTATTAAATAATTTTGTTTATCCCTTCCCTCCCTCCTCCCCTCAATTCCCCCCCCGATAATGTCGACCTCAACAAATTAGTAATAATAATAATAATAATAATAATAATAATAATAACAGTACTAAACGAAATGCAAAAAAAAAAAAAAAACTTCCTGCTTTTTAATAAATCTAATTTCACTACGTTAATAAATATGCGTGAGTGATTATGATGATGATGATGATGATTCGTTCGCACGTCACGCAGTCTTCAATTAATAATAATAATAATAATAATAATAATAATAATAATATTGAAAAAATTCACGTGCGCGACGTTAAAAAAAGGAGAGTGATAATTATGATGAAGAGTAGGAGGTTATCGATTTCATCACGTCGCGTTATTCGTATTATTATTATTATTATTTTTTCCGTTTGTTTGTTTGTTTGTTCGTTTGTTGGTTCGTTCTTTCTCGTTCGTTCTCCGGAGGATATAATTTCTTTTTTTTTTTTTGACTTTTCATTAAAAAATGACAAGATTTATTTATTTATTTTTTTTTTTTTTAAATTTTCAAGGTTGGCATCACCCTGGAGACATGCAAAAAAAAGGCCGACCGAAGGTTTGAACCGATTTTTAATTTTAAAATCCTTACGTCCTACTTTTTTCCGTTAAATTTTTTTACGCGTGCGAACGGAAAAAGACGATAATCGATCGATCGATCCAACAACCACCGAACGGATTCCAGATACATCATTATTATTATTATTATGCAAGATATTTCATCTCTTAAAAGTTTATCATCCGTACGTATATTTTGGGTTTAATGAATAAATGATTAAGCACTTTTTCTCTCTCTCTCTCTCTCTCAACATTTTGCAGTTTTTTTTTTTTTTTTCCATCATCCATTTGGCCATTGCCAAACGGCTTTTTTTTTCTTCCATCACTCGTTAACCTTGTTTGGGTCTACTACTAATACGATTAGTAGTAGGACCGCTTACAAAAAAATTTTTTTTTTTTTTTTTAAAAAAACTTATCGAAGGACTTTTCAATTTTGATTTATCATCTTTTGAGTGTTGGTTCGTTCGATGGATCGATCGATATCGATCTACCCCCCACCCCCTCGTTTGAGTTTTAAAATTTTCTTTTTTTAAAAATTTTTAAACTCGCGTAAATAAATCGTAAAATTTCCGGTACGAGCATATCGCGTTTCTCATCATTTCTCTTCTCCGTAAGTTAAAAAAAAAAAAAAAAAAAAATCAAAGGTTAAAAGGTTAAAAGCATCGTTAAGATCTTGTCGAATCCCGGTTACGCCGCGTACATTGCGTGACACGCCTACTTCTAACGATTCAACATACCGACAAACGTTTCGCGTTCCTTTTTAACAACTTTTCCCACGAACGAAATCACAAGCAGAAGACGACGAATTTTTTTCTAATGATTCTACACCAAATTTTTCGAACCCTCTAAAAACAACCGCAGACGACAAATAATAATAATAATAATAATAATTAACAAGCTCGAGAAATAATTCGTTAAATCAAAGCTAATAATAATAATAATAATAATTTTTTTTTTCTTTTCCGTGACGTAAAACCACACCGGATACGTTCGTTTAACCGGTCGAAATATTAACGAGTAAGTAATAATAATAATAATGATAATGATAATGATAATAATAATAAACATTACTTCCTCTAAACTCTAAACTATGCGAAAAACAAATACGAATTTTCCGTTTTCTCGACTTTTCTTTAAACTCGACAACCGAAAAACAAAAAAAAAAAAAACTCGTAAGAAACGCGATACAAACACAAAAACACACTCGGGCAAGCAGAACAACCAAGCAAACAAACAAACACACAACACAACACAACACAAATAACCGCATCCATCCACGCCGATTTTTAACCGTTAATTTTCCAAGTCAACAACAACGGACGACGAGAAAAGAAGAGAAAAAAAAAATGTATAAAACTGTGTAATTAATTCATTAATTATTTAATTAATCAATGACTCTCCCTCCCTCCCTCTCTCTCCTCCCCTTGTCTCCCTCTCGCCCCCTCCGGGATAATATATAAATCACAGTCGACAATTATTAATAATTCGCGTTTGTCGTCGTCTCTCCTTTTTTTTTCTTTCCTCCCAATAAGATTTTTTTATATTTCAATTTTCTCTTCGATCGTAAATTTTCTTACATCACATCGAAACAAACGAACGAACGAACAAACAAACAAACAAACAAACGTTCACTCCGTTATTCGCTACCGAGATAGAACAAACGGGGCGTAAAAATCATAATAAAACTAAAAGAAAATTTCCTACCGTTTCCGGTATTTCGCTCGCGTTTTTTTCCTTACCCCTTCCTTCCCCTCTCTCTCCTACTACTACTACCCTCCCTTCTTTCGACACGTCGTAATTTTCCCCCCGTTTTTTTCCCGATCGGACTTTCTGGCGACCGCAAGCAAACTAAACACAATTCAAACGCGGACTCGGTACTCGTATATGCCGAATCTGTCGGTGACCTTAAAAGAATCGTAAATAAATATGTTTCGTCGGTATATTTAACTACTTTAAACGTCGTCAACTTATAATAATTTTTATAGGTGTGTGTATGTGTGTGTGTGTGTGTTTGTTTTCAAGACGGGTATCTCTACCTTCGCGACGACGACGACGACGACAACGAATCGTTCTATGCCTCGAGCTTATTTTGATATATTGCAAAATAACCCGAGATGCTGAAGAAGGAGAGAGAGAGAGAGAAAAAAAAATTTTTTTTTTTTTAAGTGATGATGAATGCGATTGCGATGATGATTGTACAACAACAACAACAACAACAACAACAACAACCACAACAAACGCACGCTCCGTGTTTGAAGTTTAATTAACTCTTATATATATAATTTTTTTTTTTAATCGTCATTTCGAAATCGCTCTCTCTCTCTCTCTCGCACCCGCGTTTTTTTTGCACCAAAAACATTTTACATTCATCAACAAACAAACAAACAAACAAAACAATTTTTTTTCGTATCGAACATTAAGAAAAATAATAATAATAATAAAACTCGATCGACGACCGACGTCGGAAATAATTTTCGTACGGATATTTTCGTACGAAAATCGGTTTAATTGATCGAACGGAAATAATCGACGAGAGAACGTGACCGTTTCCGGTTTTAGTTGTTTACCGTTACTTTTCTATTGCCACGATAAAACCCGAGAACAAAAAAAAAGAGTAAAAACATGGCGTATTGGGGTACACAACATAAAAAAAAAAAAACAATTTTATCATTCCACGTTTTTTTTTCAATTATCACACGTGGTGGTAGTAGTATTAAAAAACCGTTTTCCCCCTCCTCCCTCTCCTCGTGCACGAAACGCACACGCACACGAAACGAGTTTTTTTTTCTCCCTCCCCTCCCCAATTCGAATCAAAACAAAAATTTACAATCGAAAGTTTGAATGTGCTCCGGGACTTTCGTGGGTGGTCAATTTAACGTTTTTTTTTTTTTTTTGGGGGGGGGGGTTTCGCATTCCTACTTGTTGTAATCAACGGGGAGCGTGAGCGTGAGCGTGTAGAGAATAAAATATTATCAACGAGTCCATTTTGAAAATTCACGAAATTTTCGGGAGGGGGGAAACGAAAACCTCCTCTACTCCTTCTTCGACCTTATATACCTGTTTTGAAAACGAAGCTTTTCCAAAAATTTATCAATTCGACCTTGAACTCTTTACATTTTCGCGCCGCGAAAACTTCGTAACGGTAAAAAAAAAAAAAAATTTCCCCATATCCGGTCGCGAAATATTTTTCTCTCTCTCTCTCTCTAACGGGAAAACAATAACCTTTAAAAAAGGTAAACAAACAACCAAGACTGTTCGGAAAACCGGATCGGTTTGTACAACAAACGAACAAACAACTTGAAAGGGGGAAAAAAACAAAATTTCTTTGAACTCGGTTTGAATTATCGATTTATATAATCCAATCTCGTAAGGTTAATCTTATAATTAATTAAATCGAGTCGCACAACCGTAACCTTTGACCTTTTTCCCATTTACGTTAAATTACGAAGACGACGACGACGATGATGATAATGATAATAAATTAATTTTTTTTCTCGTTATTAATAAATTATGCGACAATAACGATAATAATTTAGCAAAAAAAAAATCGGATCGTCTGGTACGCGTTTGTTTCACGGGAGAACATAATTATCGTTGTTGTTGTTTGTTGTTGTTGTTGTCATTCGCGTTCAACAAACAAACAACCGCCGAAAAGAAAAAAAAACATCGTATGTGGTTTTTTTTTTTCTGAACCGCCTCTTTCGAAACGTTTTCGCTCGCGGGTGAAGGGGAAGTCATTAATATTACATCGATTCAAAAAAGAAGAAAATACTACACTGGGATGATTTCAATCAACCGTAACCGTATCGCAAACAAACAAACAAACAAACACACACGACGACGAGACAACAACAAATAACAGGAAATAAATGAATGAAAGGATTCATCGTGCCTTGCGAGGGCATCGCATCCGAATTTTTATCCGATTTTTTTTTTTACCATTGTTTTCACCAAGGACTCGCGTCCTCCTCCCATGTTTGTTAAAAAAACGGGCAACTCCCAACGTTTGGGAACTTTACTTCTACTTCTCCCCCTTCTCCCCGATGAATACCCCCAAAAAACTCGTTCCATTTTTTGGAATCGTAAATTCGCGACGCGTGAAAACTTTTTCGAAAAACGAACGTGTAAATAAATGAATTCGCTCGTGGGAAGATGAATGAAAATTTAAACGTGACGAGAGTCGGTTAACGAACGCGAGAAGCAAAGAAAAAAGAAAAAAAAAAAGGAGAATATTTATCAAAAACGTGACAGATACAATACTCGTGGAAAACGATAGACAATGAAAAGTAAAATTAATAATAAATCCTTCTCTCCCTGGAACGGAGAACAATGGAAAGAACAAAAGAAACAAATACTTCGAACCGTTAAAGACTAAAAACAAATAATAATTTTCCTTATCCCCCCCTGGAGGCATCTGGAAATGAATGAACACGAACGTCAACAAACTATTTAACTCACCATTTTCGCACATATCATTCATATGTTATGTTATGTCAGAGAGAGAGAGAGAGACAAACATAAACATTGAGAGAGAGAGAGAGAGACAAACATAAACATTGAGAGAGAGAGAGAGAGAGAGACAAACATAAACATTGAGAGAGAGAGAGAGAGAGACAAACATAAACATTGAGAGAGAGAGAGAGAGAGAGAGAGACATAACACCGACGAAATTTGACAATGACTTTCGACAGGATGAATCAGACGCAGCACGCAAAACCCCCACGAAAAACCCTTCACGGTTATACAATATCAACAAACGCACGCGGATTAATAATAATAATAATAATAATAATAATAATAATAATAATAATAATAATAATAATATTAATAATAATAATAATAGTAATAAATTAATAATGATAAAAATGACGGAAACGATAAACGACGATTGTGATATGGTGCCACGATTTTCTTTCAAGTACGAAAACCATTGCAACAAATTTATTTGTAAAACCTCTTTAATCGTGATGGTCGGTACGATTGTCGTACAAACTCATCGCGATCACAAAAACAAACAAACAACAAACGATAGAATGCCGTTTGCGGTTGTCCAAAAAAAAATTTTTTTTTTAAACGAAATCCTAACCTCGCGTGGTAAAATCCAAACTATTCAACTTTCAATACATGCACGCGTGACGGGAAAACAATTCGACTTTATCACGAATTTTTTTTTTTTTTTTTACACACACGATGACATCATCAGGTAAAATTCAAACGATTTCTTAATTATCGTAAAAAAAAAAAAAAAAAGAGAGAGAGAGGAAACCGTCTCAGTACACGCAGTATGAAATCGATATAAAACAATCGTCGTACAAACAAACAAACAAACAAAAAACTCATTATCATATTGACGCACATGTTAAAATATTTAATAAAACCATCTGCCGACTAATTAAAAAAAAAAACGAGACGAAACGTCACGAACCGGTGAAATCGTAACGAACGAAAGCCGGGTCGCGGTTTCGTCGTCGCTTCGACAAACAAACAAACAAACGCTTTCGAAAAAAACAAAAAAAAAAAAAAATTATTACGACGCACGCGTTCGAATTAGGATTTCGAAAATTCCTGCAGGATGACGACAATTTTTTTTTTTTTTCTTACGAAATTTCGGCGATGATTCGATATGAACGCAAATAGTGCAAACATAAATATAAAAACAACAAACAGCGACTCCAAAACTCAACGATAACTAATAATAATAACTATTATTATCATTATTATAATTATAATAATTAAAAAAAAAAAAAAAAAAACGGCTACCGAGTTGTTTGTTTTGCCCTCGAGAATCAATCCGCCATTTTAAAAATAATTCTAATTCTAAAAAAAAAAAAAAAAAAAAAATGCCTCCAAACTCATTATTGCCAACTTAAAAACGAAAACTGCTACCGGGTTTTCCTCGGGTCTTATTAATTAATTATCGATGGATACGCGCGCGTTTTGCACGTTTACCGGAAGTAAACTCGAATAACTTCAACCTTTCTCCCCCTCTCTTTCCCGTTCATTATCAAAACGCAGCCTCCTTGATCTCCGAAGCGCAACGAAGCAAATAAATAAAAATTTAATTTTATTGGCCTCATCTCGTTCCGGACCGTGTGAACCCATCCGCCATGTTTCTTCTGTTTCCACGTCCTCACTCGCAAGAGAGAGAAAAAGAGAAAAACAAGAAAAAAAATTTGTTTTATCTTACCTTCGTTTTCGTCGTGATTTCCTGCAGAGTTTCCGGAGCGTCACGATATCCGCTGTGATCGCTGCAAGTGCTGCAGTTCGATATCTTTCTTAAAAATTTACTCTTCGTGTCGCCATCTTCCGTTGTCGTCACTTGTCCATTTTTCCACTTGACACTCAACCAATCTTTTTTAACCGGAATTTTTTTCTCGTTTTTAACGACGGCGTCATTTTCGGATTCGGAAACGACGATGGGTTCGACGCCATCGTCGTCGTCGTCGTTTCCAAATCGTCGTCGAGATATTTTTCGGGAAGCGAAATTTATGTAATTTTTTTCATCGACGTTTCGAATTTTTTCGAGCTCGTCGAAATCCGTCGTTTTTTTAACGTCCCCGCGAAACACGCACTCGTTCGATTTCGATTTCCTTTTCGATACGATGTAGTTTTCCTTTTGAAAGTTCAGAGATTCGTGAAAACTCTTCAGGTGGAGCGTCAGCAATTTACCCCAAGCGTTTTTAACTCGGGAGTTGATTCTGTTGTCGTTTGGAAACGTCGCGTTGTTCATTTTACTTTTCGTGACGTTGTTCGCCGCCACCGCCGTCAGCGGCCATTTTTTTTTATAATCGTCCCTGCACGACCCGAGCCTCCTATTGCAGTAATCGAACGTCGTGGTTAGTGTGACTTGATCGTTCGAATGCCTCCTGTGTTTCAAATGCGGATAATCTTCTTCTATTCTGCTCACGCTAAGGAAATCGCTGCAACTTTTACTCGTTTTTATGTTTCCGTTTTTGACGTGATTCGTCGTTTTTTTCGTTAACCGAACGTTGAGTTGTTTGGACGCCGCTTCGTCCAATCCGTAATTTCCGTTGTAACCCTGATTCGGATTGTAATTGCAATAATACACGGTGCCCGGAAGGTTGCTCAGCGAACTGCACGCGCTGAAATCCACGGATAAATCCGAATATGATATGTCGGAATTTCCCGACGTGTCCACGTTCAAATCGTCGTAACTCAAACTTCTCTGTTGTTCCAACATCAATATGTCGGCTTCGTCCAAAACGTTCGGATCTCGCTCGTTGAAATACGCCGCGAACGTCGGATTAATCATGTTCTTGTTGTGAATGGAAGAAATCGTCGTTTTCGTATCGGTACCGAAATTTTTTTCCTTTTGAAAATCTCCGTGACTTAAATTTTTCCGCAGGAAAACCGGACTTATTTCGCTGAATATCGAACTTCTTCGACTTGAATTTTCGCTGCAGTTCGACGAACCGTATTGCGACATGATCGGCGAGAGTTCGTTTAAACTGCTGCATTCGCTCAGGGTTTTCCCATCGAAATGACCGTCCGGATCGTAGTCTTCGAGCGGTTCGTCGCCGCAATACATGTTTTTCGTCCTGTTCAGCGATGTCACGCTCTGGGAACTCCGCGCGTAGTAGTCCGGCGTCGTCTCGCCGATTCCAGATCCGCTCGTTCCAGACTCCGACCGTCTCGCGAATTCGTTTCTTTCGTTCATGGTGTTGTTACTTTCGTACGCGTCCGAATGTCGTCTCGTCGGCCGGTACCTTCGTCTCCTGTGATAAGCGCTCGCTATTCTTCCGATGTCGTCGTAGGTGATGCAACCCGTGTCTTCGCTGTGATCGCTCACGACCACGCTCGGCGTCCTGAAAAATTTTATATTCGTCATGCTGTTCTCGCTTTCCGTCGTTTCCAAACTTATGTCACTTTGAAGCGAAAAATTCGATTCCCTTCGTCCGTCCGTCGTCATTTTAATTAAATCCTCGTTGAAAAGAGTTACGGGTTCGACCATTTCCGGTACGATCGGATGATCCTCGTACCGTTCGAATTTTTTATTTCCATTCACGGCATCGTATAAACCTCCGTCCAATTCCATTTCGATTCTTCCTCCTCTTCCAGGATTCGCCCTAATTTTTTTTTCTCAATCTTTTTTTCATTTTCGCCATTATTCCCATTTTTATTATATTTATTATTATTATTTTTATTCGAAACGCGTAATGATATTTTCATAAGTTTTCCCGGAAACGAAACATGGTCTTTAACAAAACTTTTTTTTGTATTCCTCGCAATCACAGATCACCTAAAAAAAAAAAAAATAGAAAAAAAAAAAAACTTTAAAATTTTTATTTTTATTTTTTTTTTTTCATAGAGTAACAAGATGGACCATACTGCAATTTTTCACATAACGCGAATCGCGCGCGATTATTTAAAAAAAAAAAAAAAACCGGAAACTCAACTTACGTAACATTTAGTCCGGAATCTATTAAGCCGATCAGGATATCGTGCCAAAAGAAAAAAAAATATAAACAATAAGAATAACAACAAAAGGAAATTGTTTTCTTTTCGAACATTCATCAAAACATTCAAGAGATTGTTGTTGTACATAAAAAAAAAAAAAAAAAACTATTTGTCACGGTTATCAGTTAATTACGTCACTTTGAGTCTTTGAACTTTATCTTAAAGTTATTTATTAGTTTTTTTTTATTTTTTTTATTTTTTTTTATCAATTGTTTCGGTAGTTTTATTTTAAACTCAACAACACGGAATTAAAGGACGATACCTATAGGAAAAAAAACCATTTTGTTTTTGAAAAATAATAATAATAATAACAACAACTGAAAATTTGATAAGGAATGTGATAATACGCACGTAAATAATTAATTGAAATGATGATACAAAAATCGCGTACCGGTAATTGGTTTTTTTTTTACGAACCAGCACGTACAAATAAAAAATATAACATCGTCATCATCATCATCATCACGGTCATCGGGAAAGCGGAAAAGAAAAAAAAATAGAAAAATTTGAATAATGTAAGTATTCGCTCAAGATTAAATTAAAAATTAAAAAAAGAAGGAAACCAGAAAATAAAGAAGAAGGAAAAATGTAACAAACAAGAAGAAGAAAAAGAAGAAAAAGAAGAACAAAAGAAGAAGAAGAAGAATTGACACGTGTGGACACGTGGAACGGACCACTACAAAATTCTCGCGTTATTTCTAGTAAAAATCGAGTACCGGAAAAATCTCACGGCACAAATATAACAACCACGCACAAATCACGATGCATGCATAGTATAAAAGTATAATTAATAATAATAATAATAATAATAATAATAATAATAATAATAATAATAATAATAATAATAATAATAATAATAAAAGTTTGCCACGTTGTTTTTACCTCTTTTTTTTTTTTAATGAATCAAAGGACAAAAAAAAAAAAAAAAAATTTACGTAAACCTCAAGGTTGGCTGGCTTCTTAACATTCGAACGCAAGTTATTAACAGAAAAAAAAAAAAAAAAATTTCAACGATTAACGGTCACGCACGTAAAAAAAAAAATTCCAAAATTAACGAATTCTACGAGTTCTCGTTATCAAAAATACATTTCACGTTCTCTCTCTCTCTCTCTCTTGATAACGGAACACCACGTGTTGACAAAAAACAATTTCAAATTAAAAAATTTTTTCCCCCCCATTTTTTTCCTTTCTTTCTTTCGCGTCACGCGATTTTCCATCGTCAGTTTTACATCATCCCCCCCCTCCGCCCAAATCGGTTCCTTATAATAATAATAAAATTTTTCCCTTGATTTTCCTCTTTTATTTTAATTGTTTAACAAGAAGAAAACAACAAACGTTTGCGGGAAATTTTAAAATAACTGATGGTAACGAGGTTATCAACGTATTCAAACAAGGCAATTAAATTAACATCAAAACGGTCGATTATCAAAAACGAGGAAAAGAGAGAGAGAGAGAGAGAGAGAAAGCAAACGACCGATTTTGTTTCAACATTGCAAGCATCATAATTTAAAGAAAGAAAGAGTAAAAGAGAGAAAGAGAGAGACATTCCGCGTCACGCATATCAATAGTAAATTGTGTCGTGACGTCATAAAAAATAAAACAATCCCGCTCTCTTCTCCTTTTTTTTTTTTTTTTATCAACGTTACAGTTTTTTTTGTTTTTCTTTAAAACACATTCATCCTTTCCCAAACATATTTTTTTTTTTTTTATTAAATTTAATACAACAATGTGTTTTCGATGAGGAAGAAAAAAAAAAAAAAAATTAATCCTCAAAACAGATGCTTGTAAAACAAAACATAACGCAACACACAAAACAAAAACAAAAACAATAACGAGAAAAAAAAAAAAAATTTTTTTTTTTTCTTTCTTTCCTTCATTTTGTTGTTCTAGCATCTTATTCTCTCTGTCAGGTGTTGCGTCAATTTTTTTTATTATTATTACTTTTTTAACGCATTCTTCACACACACGCGCACTCACGCATGCACGCACGCACGCACCTTCATAATTTTCTTTGTCTAGACTTAATTAATATCGAACACACACACACACACACACACGACGACGACGACTTTTAAAATTCTTTCATACGTTTCATCTTGTTTTATTCTCAACGACCCCCCGGTCACGCGGGGTCACCACTTTAATTACGTCACCACCCCCGATTTATATATAAAGTTTTGCTTACACGCACTACGAGCTTGGGACGAATAATGATTGAAAAAACAAACATCGGTCGCGACGCAACAAACGACAGCAAACAAAACAAACGATCGTCACAATATGTATTACAGAAATTATTATTACTTACTAACTACCGTACGCACAACCCGTTTTGATGGTCGCACACGCACACGCACACACAACAATCAATCCGAGAAACGGTTATTATCCAATTATTAAAAAATTGCCTTTCGACAAATTACGTTCGTTCGTTCGTTCGTTCTAATAAATTAACTTACTCCATGTCGCGATGATAATATCCGTTCGTTTTCCTTTCGATGGATGGATGGACCCATCGAACGCGCGCCAAAACGACAAAAAAAACTTTTTTTTTTGCGGTCGGAATCCGACAAACGGACCGAACGAACGCGTTAGAATGCGTACGTACGTACGTACGCCTTACGCACAAAGTAAAAACTGCTGGTACGACGACGACGACGACTAATGTCGTGACCTAGACATTGTATGTGTGGCGGTTTGACGTAAACGCCACGTACGGTCACATGGTATTTGTGAAATTATCTTCACCACAGACTTTTAGACTCTCCTTAAAAAAAAAAAAACTGCTTTTGTTTTAAAACGACGACGAAACAAAAAAACAAAACAAACAAACAAACAACGAAATTCAAATCGTTCCTTCTTTCTTCGATGGGAAACCCTTTACACACTCTGCGTGACATTTTTTTCATTCGTTTCATATTTCCACGCCCCCGCCCCCCGACTTTTAAACACAACAACAACAAAAATAAAGTCACGATTGTTTTGTCTAAACCACTTCCTGTCGTCAAAATCGATCTTTCCCCGAAACCCTTTCGTTCTTTTTATTTTTTGTTCGCTCTTTCAAAGAACAAACAAACAAACAAACAACGTTCCGTTTTTTTTTTTTTCACAACGGAGTTCGGGTAAATAGAAAAAAATTCGTAGAACGGATTTTCAAACTTTGGACTTTCCCACAAACCCTCGTCACTACCTATTAACTAATAACTATCTACGATACAAACATTAACAATTATCGTGGTTGTTACTAATACTCCGACAAACAAACGTGTCACAACTAAAAAATTATAAAAATTATAACAAAAAACTCGAACGGATATTTTATAAAAAAAAAAAATAACTCGGGGCGTTAAAGTTACACTTTTTTGTTTTTTGTTTGTTTCGGCAAACAAACATAACAAACAAAACATAATTATTATGTTTAGACTTATTTATAATAAAAAAAAAAAAATTTCTCCTAAAGGGAAAATAATGTAAATTTAAAATGTTTTGACGTAATTGGGTAACCGAATAAACGACGACGACGACGAAAGAGAAACCCAAAATATAACAAGCCCGAATAATAATAATAATAATAATAATAATAATGATAATGATAACGATAACAATGTTAATGTTAATAATAATAATAATAATAATAATAATAGTTTCACACCTTCGTTCGAAACCTGATCGGATATCGTTAATATTTAAAAAGGAAACGCGAAACTGTTTTAAAAGAAAAATAATTTTCCATCGATGAGTGACACGTTTACGCCGCGTTTTTCCTTTTCTTCCCACACGACCCCCCCCGCATGATAAATGAGAATGATAATAATAATAATAATAATAATGATAATAAATTTAAAATTTAAAAATTTCAAAGAAAAACAAAAAAAATTCTTTGACCATCCTTCAAATTTGTAAATACGCGCGGGTTCCATCATTCGATCGGCCATCTTTAAACGGTTTTCGCGTGCGTTTTTGCGTACGTGCGTACTTGCGTGCGTTTGCGTTTATTTTTAAAAATAACAAAAAAAAAAAAAAATTCAGAAAGTTATTACCCACGATAAAACCACGTCAATAATACCAATAAGAAAATTATCTGACAACATTACCATCATTCGCGTTGTTTCCACTTATTATTATTATTATTATTTTCAATTACTATCCGGTGATAATAATGATAATAATGTTTTTTTTTCAATCTCGATTTTTAATTCCTTTCCCTGATTTCATAGGAACAACGTAACGCGTAATCGATTTTCATAGATTTCGATTAACTTCGCCCGACCTATCGACCCCACTGACCGTGCACTTTGACATTTACGAAATCCCTCCTGTGTCCGTCTTCCTTCGTATATTATTAAGTAATTTTTTCCCCTCTCTTCCCTAACATATCCCCAAAGCGCTATAGCCAACCGTTAAGGAAAAAAAAAAAAAACATTCCGATCGTGGTTTTCTTTTCTTTTCTTTTCTTTTCTTTTCTTTCTTTTTTTTCTATTCTTATTCTCGTGCTCGAAATTACTAAAGCAGTAATAATAATAATGATGATGATGATGATGGTGATGATGACAAAACTCGTGGGAAATATTACTTGTACCGCATAATTAGTATATATCGAAACTTCTGACGGTTTTAATTAATTAATGACGTCATCGTTTTTATAAAAATTAAACGACGCGTCCGTGAATAAATTGTCGCGAAAAACGCGACGACGTTCGTTCGCCGCGAACAATTAAAAGGTTTTCACTCCGACGTATTATTATGAATTTATGCGTCGAAGCGTACGCGCGGCGTATTCTATACGTTCGTCATCACCCGTTCGGTGACTCATAAGAAAAACGTTCTTGGCTTCTTTTTTTTAATGTTTTATACCCGGCGTTTTCTCGCACTCACGGTCAAATTTTTAAATACGATGACGTCACCTATCGTCGCCTGAACCTACCGCGCCCTCCCCCGTATTTTTTTTTTTTCGTTCGATAAAAATCCGAAAAATTTAACATTAATAATAATAATAATAAAATACCTGAGTCGGTCGGAAGACATCTTTGACAAGAGAGAGAGAGAGAGAGAGAGAAAGTGCGTAACCGAATGATTTCGCATATTTTACTCATTTTTATGCAATTTCTGCAACTTATACACACTCGTATATAATAATAATAATAATAACAACTTAACGGACATTATTATAAATGATGATGATGACGATTAATAACGAAGAAGATAGCTCGACCTTTATTTTCTTTTCAACGCGTGCGTTTTTTTTTTTTTCGTTCGCCCTCACTCGATAAATTATTTTTATTCGCGAAAAAAAAACAAAATGGCGGTAATTTTTTTTTTTTCGTTTTGCGGTTTATGTAAACGACAACTTTCAACATCAGGAGTCGATGTAGGTGATACGCTGCGTATTTAACGCGCGTATTTAAATAAAAAATTAAAAATATATAATGAAAACGTGAATTTTTTGTTTTGTTTTTTTTTTCTTTTAAATCTCAACGGAAACAAAAATACATTTTTCTCATTAATAATAATAATAATAATTATAATAATAATTCTCAAGAACGTAAAAAACACGAACGACTCAAACGTGACGACACAAAACGATCGTGTTTAATGTTTTTTTTTTTTTTTTAAATCTTTGAAAAGGAGACGACATTTTCTTTCGAATTTTCGCCCGGAAAACGACACAACAACCGAGGGGGAAAAAAAAAAAAAACTTTTCCAGTGGGAAGAAAATTTTCCGACCGATAATAATTTTATGTGAGTGACGTCACTCACACAAATCATCA